AGTTGTTGACTGGAGCCTTTTACAGCTCATCATATTAATATGGCTTTACAGATAGCCAACATTTTGGACCTAGCCATTCAAGGTCAGTGAGGTCTCAGGACATAAGAGAGCCTGTACTCTTACATCCTGTAACTCAGTGGTGTCCCAAATTTTCTGATCAAGGCGATTATGGGGCCACAGAGGAAAGTGATCGATGATGTAATACACCTAAGGAGAGTCAAATGGGAGAAAACATTCTCTCAGGCTTTCATAGAGAGTGAATTGGTCAAGCAATGGCCATGACTCATGCACATGGCTGACACTGACAAAGGATGTACAAACAGCAGTACAGGGTTTCAGGGTAAATTCTGAGGGGATTTGACTGACCTTGTCAGATACAAAAGTTACATTTCTTGTTATGTAGGTCTTGCTTTATCTTGGTCTTAACCATCCAGCAGAAAAGTATAAAAACGACGTATAAAAAGTAAAGCCATACTAATCCCCTGTGTTGATTCTTGACATCGTTTTCCCGTGCCATTGGAGTTCTGTTCAGGAAGTCCTTGGCGGTGTCTGTGGGATCAAGTGTTTCTTTTATGCTGTTTTTGTTTTTGTATCTAGGTCTGTGGGCCATTCTCGTTGGATTTTAGTACAGGGTGAGAGATCAGGTCCTAACCTCTATCTTCTTCAAGTGGATAACTGGTCTTTCCAGCACTGTTTCTAGGGCCTGAAGCAGTTCACTCCTGGCCCTCCTTGCCTGTACGGTGTGTGTGGAAAGTCCTTGCGGTTCTTAGTGGTTCACCCCTACATGTGATTTGTTGCCTTCCGCTAACAGCCTTTAAAAGTCTGTCCCTGGATGGACCTCTGGAATTTTGATAGCATGTGCGGGTTCTCTTTTGGCCGTGGCTCTACTGGTGCTCTGTGCATCTCACTTACCAGCAGGTTTCTTTCTTTTTCTGTATGTCTTAGTTACTTTTTCTCACTGCTGAGAAAATATGCAAGGCACCCAGTGTTAAAGGAGAAAAGGGTTACTCATCTCACAGTCCATAAAGGTTTCAGTCCACAGTCAGCTGGCTGCGGGGTGCGGCCGGCAGAGGGGCAGCAGTGCGTGGCAGGGCAGGCAGAGGGCGGCAGCGCAGCTGGCTCCGAGCAAGTAGCAATGTTGGCCTGTCTCATCCAGCTCCTCACCATTACAATGGGCAGCACGCACACCCTTAAGCCCGGGTTGCACCCTGATTGATCCCAGCATCACATGTCCTGCATCCAACCACCACCAGAAAGGTCCCCCAAGACTGCAGGGATTGAACTCATGACCTGTGCTTACCAGGCAAGCACTTCTTCCTCTGAGCTATCTCCCGGGTCCTGCACCACTAACTTGGGAACCTGGCTTTTGCTCTTGTTTCTGTAAATGAGTTGTCTTTTTAATGCCTTTTCTGTTTTGTCTTTGATTTTTCTCTTACTTCAGTTACCCTTAGTCCAGTCTTCGCCTCATCCAGCAGCTTTTGGGCCTGTGTGTGTGTGTGTGTGTGTGTGTGTGTGTGTGTCTGTCTGTCTGTCTGTCTGTCTCTGTCTGTCTGTCTGTCTGTCTCTTCTCTTTTCTTTCTTTGTTTCTTTTTTTCTTTCTGTATTTGGTACGGATTTTTGGCAGCTTGGACTCGTAGTGATCTTCCTGTCTTAGCTCCCCAGTGCTGGGATTACAG